CCTGTTAACCAGGACTGCTAATAAATGATAAATATATGTATAGATGATATATATAGATAGATAGATATTTATAGTGCTGAAAGGGCCACAGTCCATAACCAGGCAGTTCTACCTGTCACCCAAGTGTCCTGGATTCCTCACCGATTCTAGCTGCTTCACACTCCTTTGGTTAAGAAAAGGAAAATCAAGTTTGCTGAGCACTCTAATTTGTTTTATTTACAGTTTTTTCCAACTTTTAATCAGTATAAGCTTAATACCTAACCTTTAAAAGGTGGTTGAATAATTTCAAGACTCTCAAAACAAAAGAGCCCTCAAAATTTAAAAGAGAAAAAAGTAAAGGCTAAAGCTACTGTTCAATGTCTGCTTTAAGTGGCAAAGACAGGTAGTTCCTCCATCATTAAGTTACATTGAAAAGGACAACTAAACAAAAAGGAAAAATCTTACAAGAAATGAAATCTGAGGTTATTTGATGAACATTTTAAAGCAGCAGTGCCACTGAAACAAGCACTTCTGCTTGCTTTGTCATCTGCTCCTTGTTCTTTCTCTGCATTATCCCCTGCTTTTGCTGAAACAGGTCTTTCTGCAGTGAAACAATGGGTAACTAATTTGGCTAAAAGCAACCTTTCTTTTTGCTGGTTACTTTCCAGCCGGATCAGTGCCATGGTCATCCTCATCAGCCCAAAAATGATTGTGTTGGCCGACAAACCATGGATGTGGGAGTAAAAAATAGTGTTTGGAAAGGTGCAGAAGGGTTTAATGCTGAGCTTCGAATACACTCAGCGTTCCTAAGCAAGTTTTGTTGTATTTCCCTCCTGATAGAGGCAACATTCCAAATTTCCACCAAGTAATAAGGCAAAAAAAAGGCTCTCCTTTCCTGTTTTGCACATTGTACTTTAGTTGTGCTTGGACCAGAATAAAACAGCTCACATCTGTGTGACTTACCCTTTTTGCAGTTTTTCACTGAGTTTGCAATAATATACATTTCTTGTGTAATATAGATTTACCTGGTCTACAAAACCCAAAATATTCTGTTGGTCACTGAAAAAAACCCCAAACCTAGAAGAGACTAAATGCTTTAGACCCTTTAAAGGTCTGACCTATAGACAATGGCAGTACGCAGAACTTACCAGCAATGGACAGGACAGCATCAAAGCATTCACTTCGATAAGGCAGATACAAGCTATGGCACACCATTACTTCATGGCCTTTATTTCGTGCTGATTCCACCAACGGGAAACAGTAGTCGCAACCCAGTTTATAGACTTGAGAATTGATGTGAAGGTATTTGCCATTTCCACAGCCTGAAGAAATAATGAGGAGAAGAAAGAAAGGCGGACATTTGGTGCCTGTACAAAAGAAAATGTATTCCTGACATAAGCCACGATGTATGCCCTGGACTGGCCTAATAGCTTGAAATTCTCCACCCATTTCAAAGGAGATGATACAACTGCAGTGGAATTCAGGTTATTTTTTACCATCACAGTACAATGACTGCTCCTTTCTGTCTAGCAGGCTCTCTGGAGGTGTTAAAGTGGGATTGCTAGAGAACATTTACCTTGGCCTTCCCACCACATATGGAATCAAAAATATTTATGGTAATGATGCTACTGCAATTCTGCTTGTAATAGACTCAAAATGCTAAGTGAAAGCATCATGTAGTGGGAGCACAGCACTGAATTATTCCTGTGTATTGAAATGCTGATAGACAAACTAGACTGCTAAGTAATTAAGTCACTATTAGACCAAACCATTAAATCCATTGTTTGCTGTTTTAACTGCTGCTAATTGCTGTCACCATGACAACAGTGGAGTTTCTTTTTCTGGTATCTTCGCGCAGCTTCCTTTACATAATGGAGCCTGCAACACAGAAATTTACATCTTCCCAAATTGAAATACTTCTTGTGTTGAAATAAAGGTAGACATCTTTAGATAACAACGATTTTAATGTCAGCAGTAAAACAGATCTTATCTAAATTTTTGATAATTTTTTTGCAGAATTATCTGGATCTTAACACAAAGTGTATTTTAATGTAGATTATTAATTTTTAAAACTTGCCTTCTCACTTGCATCATAAAAATAATAGTTCAGATTAAGATCAGGGAAGTAAATGCATCGGGCTAGCAGAATACCCTGTACCTTGTGCAGACCTTAGTTCACATCCTGTTTATGGCTACGCTGACATCAAACATTAAGCTTGGGTCGGAGCCCAAATTTTATCTCTAATTCATTTTTTAAATGTTTTCTTTTAAAAAATTATAGTTATTTTGGAGCCTTCCAAACATTTAAGTCCCTATATTTAGGCTACAGCCATCCCATAGCACCTATTCTGAAACCCTGTGTGGGTCCCTATGTTCAGTAAGGAGCCTCCCAGCGCCATCAATCTGTTATGCCATTTGAATGGGAGATGAATCATTGCTGAGTTGCAGATAGAAGTCTGCTCCTAACTACTTGTCTAATACTAGCTGCTGATCCCATCTCCCAAGAATGAAGGAAAGAGATTCAGAGAAAAGCTCTCTCAGTCCTTCCCATGCCGGACTTCAGCACTAGCTGAGAAGAGGTGCTGTGAAACAGTGCCAGCACTTGGCTAATATTAGACTCTATTTTCTAAGGAGAAAGAGCAGAACGAGGGCTACCCTGGAGCTCTGACTGGAAGAGAACTCCAGGACTTTTTCTGGTTTTCACTTTTGGAGGGAAAGGCTCCAATATAAGCCAAACAACAGCTACTAAACACATTTCCTCTAATCCGACACCAGAGGCTGCTTCCCAGGGATGGAGGGGGAGAGGAGAGCCCTGCAGGTAGACACCTCTCCGGCACCGTGGCACCATTCTCGGTGATTGTGTCTCGCATGAAACTTGCCTCTGGCTATGGACCACCACAAGAGCGTGCCAGCAGCCTCTGCAGGCCAAAGCCCAGGAGCCAAGCCTGAGCTTAAATTACAGTGTTAACAAAGTCCAAAGTCTGTGACATCAGTGAAAACTCAGTGTGCTGGTTCTTCGTACGCGTTTTATTTGTTCACATTGAAAACGTTGCAAAATCTGCCAAGATCTGGTAGGAATGTAGTGCCCAGCATTTAGACTGTGATTAACTGGGAAAAGTATATGGTAAAGTTTGAATGACACCCAAAAAGTAAGTATGATTAGCCCAATCCTCAGTAATTTTTCTCTTTCACAAACGTTCCCATGCTATAGTGGGGAGACTACACATATGTGTTGCTGTAAAGGATTACAGGTCCAAAAAGCTATTTAGAAGACTAGCTTAAACACGTAAAAATCATGAGTTAATGCCCAGATCTCTTCTGGGCAACCAGCATGTATCCACTTCTGGTGCAGGGTCTGAAGCCAGTACAGAGGCTTCCCTCGTACAATTTAGACATTCTCAAACCTTCGGGGAATTAAAAACTGTCAGACATTGTTCCCCAAAGCACTCAGGTCAGTGTCATGATACTTGCTTCAAATTGGCCACACACAATACATGTTGTAAGAGCTAAACAAGATTTCAAATTCCAGAATTATCATACCAATACGTAGCATTAGCATCCACTAATGACATCTTAATAAATTTAATTCAATTCAGCTCATCTACTGGATACTGGGAAAAGTAAATCGTCTTCATATACCTATGAATAGTGGAGCAAAGTAGCAGGCAAATTTGATAGTCAGTCTGGCCATTTTGATTCCCCAGTTTGATTCACAAGCTCCAAACTCTTCTGCCACAAATATTGCGTGATAGAAAGAGAGGACATACTTAGAGTGTCATTAGCAATGTGATAAACAACCCCACTCACCAATATCAGCAATCAGGCTGCCTGGTTCCTGCTCTGAAATGAACTGCTGCACCTTTGGCCATGCCTTGTAGCGTGCGTCATTGAAGTAAGGAGCAATTTTCTCATATACGCTATGAACGTGGTCCCTCTCGAGTTGGCTTGCCTCCTTCTCCATCACAACCAAGGCTAGGCTAACTCACTGAAGGCAGTGCAACTGTTCTAGGGAAAGGGAAGGGAGAAAAACAAGCCTGAAACTCTTGTTACCAAAGTACATTTCCTTCAGTTAAGCGGTATGACATTTTTTATTTAGGAAATAGTATTTCCAAATACTATGTTGCCATGAAAGAGAAATTGCTGAGGCTTTTAAAAGAAGAAAGGTCATCTATTCTATGATTTTATACAATGTGTTGTTCTCTTATATAAATCTGAAAGGAATTTTATAACGTACCACTCAATGTTTATTAATTTGCTTATATTGTTATACTTTGGAAGCTGTTAACTTTTGCTTCATGAAATCTTCCACGCTTTTTCAGTCTACCCTTGAGAAAGATATTTTCTAAGAAGTCCTTTGTTTACAGACACATCTTAAAAAACAGCAACTGAAAATTATGATGAATACCAAAAGCTGCTCAGAGTCTGAAACAAAAGCTCTGAGAGGCGTCATTTCTCCTCCGCTTCATTCAGCACCCAGAAAGATCCATGCCTACAGACTTCCCACTGCACAATTCATTGACACCGTGTGTTACTGTGAACAAAAATCTTTCCAGCTTTCCAAGCACTCTTTTTTTCAGCTGTTCTGGATTGGCATGGTGCACTGGTATTAGCAATGCCCCCAGGAAAACCCTGTGAGATTGTGAATAGCCTATTGCATCCTAAGTCATTGTTCAGTTCACCATGAAGCTTTGTACAGAAAGGATGTAAAAATTGTGAACTTCATTGAACATATGCTGTCCATGCCAGGATTTCCGTTGATGGATGTGAAGATCTGGGCCACCAAGACAGGCTGCTCCTGCTCCACTCGCACGCTGCAAACAACTCCATGCAGAATAACTTCTCCTCTGAGCCAAAGGTATCGATGACAGCACCTCACCCAAGATCTCTGCACTGGGCTGCAGTGCATCTGACTCCTGATACAGTCCTTATCTGGTCCTTATTTTCAAACCTATAAACATTTAAAATCCTGTCAACTCAAGACTGTTGTTCTGTGATTTCCTAGGCAATTACACCAAAAACACTGAAGCAGACTAATTCCAAATTCGATCCTGCAGTAACAGCAAGAAACTAACTCTGGAGGGGTTTTGGTTATGTCATTAATTAATCTGAAAAACTCTGCTAGGATTAAATCCTGTAGCCCTTGGTGTCTTCTGTCATATCAGACAATCACTCAGCATCACTGTGAAATTGCCCAGACTGCAAGTTTCCTGAATATCCTGCCTAGATCAATGTGATGACAAGTTTTGGAGTGGGGTGAAGAAATTCTGTGCAAGATCATCGCTGTTCTCTTCATTATCTGTGTTGCTAAATAACAGCCACTTTAGAAACACACATAATAAAAAAAAAAAGACAATGAATGTGAGTTGTCTTGGTTTAGTCTCTCCTGCACAGCAATGCATTATCTTTTTAGCTTCTACTGAGATTTAAAGCCGTCACCTTGCAAGCACTTACACAGGTGCTTAACTCTGTGTATGCAAACAATACCACTGACTGAATCCAGTGGGGATATTCCAGGCACAGAGTTCACCACATGCATTAGCGCGTACAAGACTGGGTCTCCAAGGCAGAATGATTTTTTTATTGTTCTTCATTACAACCAAACTCTGCTGTAGAAGCTAGTTTTTAAAAAATACCTTCAGAAAAACCCCAGTTGAAATATCTGAAGTGGTCTACTGGGGATCATTTCAAGAGGAAGCTGATGTACTATCAAATATACGGGGAAAGGCAGAAGGAGGCAAGAGAAGGAGAGGGAAATGGTTCTTTGGAAAAGCTGAAACATCATTTCAAAGCTTTGTTATTGCTTCATTTGACAAGAGGAAATAATAACTGGTGAACTGATGTAAGATCACAGGAGTGAAGAGAACAGAGCTGCTTCTGTTTAACTCTAGGCTTACACTCAGGATAGCTCGCTTAGGCAGAGGAACAGTCTGGAAGTTGCTACCAGCTTGAGACACTTATTACCAGGAAAAGAAAGAAGGTGCATATGAAAGCATCTAGCAAGAGAAAGCACATAGTAAGACACCCTTTCAAACTAAGGCAAAAAAGTGTTTAAATGCAAAAAACCAAAAGTTGTGTGTAAAACGGTCTCTCCTCTGGAACAGGAGCAAAAAAGATGTAACAGAGGCTATGATTAAACCCCACCTAGAATTAAGAAAGACACAGCATCTTTTGTTTTAAAACGGTAGCTCCAAGAGTGGGGGCAATGGTTTGGACTCTCTTAAATTTAAAAGTCCAACTCTGCAAGGCACTATTAAAATAAATTTTCTGTAAGGTTCTCATAAGAAAGTAACCCTTTGTCGGGGAGGCTGGAGGAAGAGACCAGTCAGGTCGGTCCCCAGCAACCACCAGCAGGCATGCTATGGACATTTCTGCCTGGAGGAGTTCAATGAATGCCCATCTCCTACGCTTACCAAGCCATAAACCACAAAATGCTTGTCAACACTCCATTTAATGCTTTTAGTACAACAGACTGAAAACCGTATAAAATACAGTGCGCTAGAGGAAGAGAGCAGAGAGATGTTTGAGGGCACAGCCACTAATTTTACTAAGTAAAAATGTTCAGACAATCCTAGGAAACTGGTTACAACCCACATTGCAGAAGCAAGAAAAAAAAACAGAATCAAAAAGCAAACAGGGATGCCCACCAATCTAGCCTAGGGGAAAATAATTTCTGGGGGACTGACTCAGGTTCAAACATATGATTTATACATGCCAATCTGAATCTCAAAGACTTTCCAGTTTCTCTATCATCCCCAACATCCTTTCTCTAGTCACAGGAAAAGCCAGAAAATAACTTGGAAATCAAGCTATGCATCAGGAAGAAAAAATTTCTGCCCAACACAAAATTGGATATTTAGTGCTGCAAATGTCACACAACGGCATTTTACTTTGGTGTTGTTTGCATACTTGCATACCAAAGGCTTTGGGGAATGCAGATATTTTCTTTTGAGCACACCCTACCTTTATGCAAATAAAAAAAAAAGTAAATCTATTCATCCGGGGCTGGCAGGAAAGCAAAATGAAGAGGTACAGAGCAGCAGTTCAGCCTGACTGCCTGTCACTTACTCTTAAGCTAAATTTGACACAACTTGATTGAAAGTGAAATTAAACTTGAGTTTAAAAGCCATTAAAAACTTCTGAGTTCATAAGTGATTATTAACTTCCTGAACACTGTGAAGCCTCTGACTGTTCATGCAGGAGCCTGCGAGCCTCATGCAGGCTGTGCCCCACGCTTCGGGGAGCCCTGACACCCCGCAGCATCGCTCCCCGGGGGTGCCACAGGCAGCTGGTGGAGGGGGCTCTGGCTCCTGCATCCAGAGCAGGAGCTCATCCTCTGCCTGCGGCGTGGCGGCTTCTGCTGGGTTACGAGTGCCTCAAATTTATCTTTGAATTTAAAAATAAATGTTTGGGAGGAGAATAGGCTTTCTAATTCTAAATAATTTCATTCTTTGGGTAATACCCAGTGACGCCAATTTAACTCAGCTGCTCTGTGGTTCAACCTAACAGGAGAGAAAAACTGAACTGGTAATAAGCTTGCTTTTGACAGGGAGTGTCTTCTAGAAGGACATGTCATCAGAGAGTTCCCAGATGTAATGAGTAATTCCCGATTTAAAAAAATGCCTATTCTTTCCCTCTGCCCCGAGCGCTTGTGGCTGTGGGGGCTGGTGGCTGGGCGGCCAGCCACAGGATCGGCCTGCCCGGGGCTGCGCCAAGCTCGGCCTGGTGAGCTGAGAGCAGCTCTGCCGAGGCCCCGCCGGCCCCTCCGGAGCCCCGGGCATGTGGGCCACCCCATGGCAGAGCTGGAGGGAGCGCAGGAGAAACGGGGCTGGCTCAGAGCCGCGTCCCAGCGCCAGCGAGCCCTCCCTGCCGCCCGCCGGAGAGGCAAAACTGAGCTGGGCTTCTTCAGAAACAAGATTAGCTTAAGTCCTGCAGTAATTAGTTCCAGCAAATGACATAACAGCTGGCCTATCATAGCTGAAAATTGAAACCAGCAACTCCAGGAACACGCCATTTCTAATACCTATGAAAGAGACGGCGGTCCTTTCCTCCCCTCGGTTAAATGAGTATTTTTGTGACGAAATGTTTGGAAAGCCTGCTTAATTCTTCTCCCTCTCTGTGCCCCCTGCACCACCATCATTCCCACCTTATACACAAACATTACACTGTGACTCCATCGAAACAGCTTTTCTGAGAAGCGCCTAATCTGTGTGTGAAACACTGCAAATACTCAGCTGGACCTTGGTAGGGTCCCTTCAGGGACCTTCAGCAAGTTTGTTCTTCCAGCAGCAGCAGCAGCCACCACAGGAAAGCTCTGCCAGTCAGACCAACAGTCCCTACCCCTGCAAAGCAGATAAGAAAAGAACCAGAGAGGAAAAACTGTAAAATCGGCCTTAAAGCCCTTGAGCGACAGTTCCCATGAGGTGTGAGGATCTGGGGAAGGACTGATTAACAGAAGGGGAAATGCAGTATGGGGCACAGAGGGGCTAGGAGAAAAGGAGAAACGAAAGAAGCTAGATGGGAAGAAAACGATAAAAGGGAATTTTATAAATAATAAAGAGGGAAAATGAAGGGCAAAGAAAGAAATGAAAAGGAGGAGAAAAAAACTGAGAAAAAGAAGAGGGGATAAAAAAGCAGAGATATATAGAGAAACTCCAGGTTAGTATTTTAATTAGTTTGCCTTGCTGCATTTTTCCCAGATACCATCATGCATGGGCACAGCATCACAATTTGACAGTTAATCAGCCATTTGGGGATTCCTCATAATGCTGTATTAATATTACCATAGCCCAGTGAAACATTCCCACAGCCTCCCAGCCCCTGCATCCTACTGGCCTCATCCTCACCCTTTCACAGGGCCGAGAGGCAGCAGAGCTGCATCTCTTCCACCTTCCTAAAGCCACCGGCAGCCGCAGCGCAAGGTCGGTACGTGCCTTTCTGAATTCCCTCCATATTGCAGGTGCT